TAGATAGATAGATAGATAGATAGATAGATAGATAGATAGATAGATAGATAGATAGATAGACAGAGAGCAGGACATGATGTATAAGTACGCCCAAGAAACTGGATACCCGTCCAAGTAATGCTAATGGATATGACGTGTCTTTAATAAGAACACTACCTGGATATAGTGAATCATGGAATCGTAGTCATAGTAACCATTGTACACACCCAGCACTCGTTAGGCAATCTGGAAAATGCTTCTTCTCATCTTCGACCACCATCTCTCTCGTGCTTTGTAGTCTCACCAACTTCCATTCCAAATGTCCAAACACAAGGACTTTCCTCCTCAGACTGTACTGTCTTCAGGCGTGAGAACGGTTCCCTGGATACTCCTACTCCCACTCTTGCAAACCCACCAAGCCAACCCGAGAAACGGAAACTGGAAGAAACAAAAAAGACTCATTCCATTCATTGAATCGTGGCACCACCCAGTCTCCCTCTCCAGACACCAAACACCGGACAAGCAAAATCAAGTGGGCCGCTTCGCCAAACAAAGATCGTCACCTGCATTGCCTTAGTAAGATAACAACACCACTCACCGCCAACGCCATTTCCATTCGCCGCCCCAAATCCCAAGAAAATTTCTCCTTCACCGTCGCATCCCCACCTGTCCCTTACATACGCCGTACCGCTATCGTGGTGATTGTTCCCTTCTCGGCTCGCTACACTTGCATCCAAGCAACACGTGTTCTACACATGTCTTGGGGGGAAATGCGATCGGCGCTGTGCAGCAACCCCCCCTCGTACCTGTTTGCCTCACTTTCCAGCTTATAAGCACTCACCGTAGAGCCGAATATGCGCCATTATTGCATTCGAATAAGACATCAAAAGGACAGCCAAGGGACGCATCGTGAGGCTCGGAAATCCCTACGTCGTGGCTCCTGTTGCGTGACCGTATCGTGGACCCATGAGTGTCGGGCAGAAGCAAATGCGAGGGCGCATGACCTGAATGACATCCAAGCCACACCCGTATTGCCCTCCAGTGTCTGCAACAATACGTTCAGACTCGTTACGGCACAGAAACGCGCGCTTCAGCCCGTCTGCAGGTGATACAAGGCTCGCCTCAGTCGTAGCCAGCTCTGCCTCATTACCATGACTGATCGTGTCCGATTACCACATGAGGCGGCACCATGTGTGGGCATTGGCATTGGCAGAGAAGGCCTTGGAATGGTGGTTTGGTGTCTTGAAAGGATTCCGACAGCTGACTAGTGCGAGACTCCAAACAAGGCGTCTTTCGGGTTGGATACCGAGACAATGCAGTTATTGGCGACCTATTTCTAGCCATTCATAATCCACAAAAGACTTTGATGCGAAACCGACGATAGTCGCTGGCAAGACGGCAGAGTAGTAACATTGGATGGCGATACCCCGACTGAACGTAACCCATCGGCAAGGGCTTTACTTGATTTGGTGCTACTAGCAAGGAGAACTCAAGGCGGCAAACCAAGGTATCCATGGCAGACCAGCGTATGACGCGTCTTGGTAAGAGGCAATAAGTCTGCGTGGCAACTCAGGAGACAATAGCCAGGAGGGGCAAAGCTTACAATCTCTCCGAAGCAGTAAATCTTGACACCGGAGCTCTTGGCCGCACGGCAACGAGATTCAACAGCCATCCGCACACCATTGTAAATTTGCCGGCCATGCCGACGACGCCGACGATTGCGGTGACTGCAAACGGAGGAAGCCTCAGGTGCGGCAAGGCAACTTACCGAGCACCATGGAATTGCTTATTGCATGCACAGCAAATAAGCGGCTTCGAAGAAAAGTGGCGCTGGGCAGACATGGTCCGCTCGACAAAGCAATTGTAGCGCCCTGCATGTACGTACTAGCTACCGGCGGTTCCGTGCGTCTTAACATACATACCACTATCGAGGCAAAGCATCACCGTGGCACTCTCTGAGTGACGGACGCTCGGGTCTTGTCGTAACACCGTTATAGGCATAGATACTCGGTGTGTTTGCACTAATGGCGGAGTACCTCGGGTTGCGCCACCTTCCGCTCCACCTCCATTGATCGTGGGAGAATTGGTTGCTCCGCTCCAGCCATGGCATGATATCGCGTATCCCGTAGCAAGGGTGCCTTGTAGTACCGCGGTAATGCCGATAGCAGCTTGTTATCCTACGTCTCCACGCCTTTAACAGCACAGTGGTAGATGTTTCGGTTGTTCCTGTAAGTATGACGTCGCTAGAGCAATCGCACCTCGTCTGGTCGCAGAATCATGCATGGTGAGTTGGCGTATGAGGGGACTGCATTACGGGACTCGCATGGTAAGCCCGATGCATGAAGCATATCACGACGGATGCTTAGATGTCGGGTATTGGGCACATGTTCGCGCCCTCGCACACGTGTACACGACTCAGCCGGCCTCTCAAGAGCCGATAATGTCATCCAGTTGCCGATCCAGTAATGGCAGAGTAGCAAGCCCACCAAAAGCAGTGCACACCTTCTCCAGCTGAACCTTACATCCCAAGTATGAGGTACACAGCCACTTGCTGTTGAGCAACTGTGCATTCCAGCTGCCAGCAAACACTGATACAACCCGCCCGGCTTGCTGTGGATCTCCGTGCCGTTTCCTGTTATTATCACTGGAAGCGCCTAACTAGATCCCTGATGACAAGCGGGGTAATCCAGGGCGCATCACTGACAGGCTGCGTACACTCGCTACTTGGAGTTGACATCGGCGCCGCGCTGGTCCGCGGTTGGAGAAACCCAGATGTTTGGGTATCGGCAACGCGTAGTGTGGGTGGTCAATGCGTGCAACGGGTCAGACAATGCAACACCACCACTAAAATGTCCGCCTATCAAAAATGAGGCTGTAGAGCACCATACAAAAGCTATTATCACGAGATTTTTTGGTGGAGTAGTCTAAATAGTTCAAAAAACAATCCTATCTACTCAAATTTCTTTGGCAGTTTGATGTTGCGGCCGCGCATCGTTGTTTTGGTGGTGGGCTGCGCAGCCGACGATGCAGACGCACCACCACTTTGGCTGCCTGCATCACCACCACCCTTTGACTTTTTTGACTTTTGAGACGATGAAGCTTTTCGTTTAGGTATATTTTGCTTATCGCGAGCTTTTTTTGAAGTTTGCGACTGCGCGATCGCGAGCTTTTTGGGCGCGTCTTAACTGGAGTTCTTTGGCCCTCACTTCTCTCTCTTTATCCCTCGCTATTTTCTTCAACTCCCGCGCAGTCCTTGCCTCGTCTATTAATTTTTTTCG